TATTTAATATTATTAAGTTATTTTTTGCTATATTTGAGTCGAGCGGAGGTGAATTTTAAGGGAAAAGCTATATTTGAGTGTTGAATTTACCTAATTAAGGTAGGTGTCTTGCCTAACTTTGTTGAGGAAATTTTCCTAATAAAATGATATTGTTTGCTACATGCGGTGTTGATGTATATGTGAGGTAATGAGCATGATCACGCCCAACTCTAGTCCTAAAAAGGATAAGCGGTCGCTGCAAATATAATTCAATTTAAGAGTCCGAAGTCGAATTCCACAGAGAACTAAAGTTTAGCTACAATTGTTCGCTATCACCAAGAAGACAAGCTCGAACAATTCCTAAATTGTAAATATAAGATTCTTATGTCTAGCTAATTAACTAACAAATTAAAAAAGTGAATTAACAACTAGAGATACTAAGGGTTGGAGACAAGATTAAGGAGGTCTACAGTTATGATTTCCCCAATTGTCGGAATCCTTCCTGCTACGTCTTCTAGAAATTTGCCTAATTATTCTCTACTGATCATGAGCACTCGACTTATCATAATTCTCTCTTGAGAAACTACAATAATGTACTAGTCATATTCTCTCGAATTACCCTAGCTTGCACTTTTTCACCGCTCACTATAATCATGTGAAAGGTTCATTATCTCTAATCCCGCTTTTCAACCCACCGTATTGACCTCTCATATACGTTAGGAGTGACGTTATTCAACAACCACATAAATATGTACTCTTTTTCAAGCAATACATAATAAATAGCACTGTTAATTGAGAGTTCTTCAATTAACTAAAATAAGCACGTCGTTGAACAAATAGAAAAATTCAAAGACTCAATTATATCAAAACGTATCAAGATTCACCCTACAAAAGGTTCCATCAAAACCCTAGATAAAAGATTAGCTATTCATAATAGTATGAAAAACTACAATATTAGAATTCATAACCAATAATGAAAATAGAAGAAAGTGAAAAATTTATAGAAGTATTCTCCGCCTTGCTCCTTGTGTGTTCTTGCCTCCTTAGGTAGAATTCCCTCATTAGGTCGAATTCCCTAGGTCGAATCCCCCCTTCTTAGGTTGAATCCCCCCTTTCAAAAGTGAGTTTAAAGACTATTTATATGGGTTAGGGTTTGCATCGGGCGGTATAATACAAGCCCACCTCGGAACAGTCTTTTTAGGTTGGCTCGTTCACTCTCTCATGCACACGGGAAAGTGAACTAGTGAAGTTCTTCTCTTTTTCTTTTCCTTCTAGGGCTCTCATGCACTTCCATGCTTTTTTCCATAATCCGCTGTTTTTTAAGCTCTCCTCAGCTAGCTCGTTCACTCTCTCGTGTGCACGCAGGAGTGAACGAGCGAAGTGCTTCGCTTGTCTTTTGGTCCCGAATCAACTTTTTCATCTTTCGTCCAACTTGCTCCTACACATAAGAATGCACGTAATGAGCATAATTCACTACAAAAACTCATGTAACCTCCAGTAACCACACAAATTATGAGATGAAAGTGTAATGACCCGGCCGGTCGTTTTGAGAAGTAACGCCCCGATCCCCTGTTAACTGCTTTCCCCGTGTCTTTTTCAGCTATTGTGATTTGCCGGGATGGTTCATGTTGAGTTTCTGAGTGTTTTAGGACACTTAGTCCCCAAATGAGAGTTTAAGTCTTAGAATTTGGACCGTAGCCGGAACAATGTGAAGACGGCTCCGGAATGGAATTTCGTCGATTTTGTTAGCTCCGTTGAGTGATTTCAGGCTTAGGGCGTGTCCGGATTATGTTTTGGAGGTCCGTAGCTTATTTAGGCTTGAAAGGATGAAAGTTGAATTTATGGAGTTTCGTGCCGATAGTGGAATTTTTGGTATCGGGGTCCGAATCCGATTTAGAAAGTTGGGATAGGTTCGTAGTGGTGATTAAAACTTTTGTGCAAAATTTGGGGCCAATCAAACATGGTTTGGTTAGTTTCGGCATCGGTTGTAGAATTTTAAGATTTCAAGTTCATTAAGTTTGGATTGGAGGGTGATTCGTGGTTTTAGCATTATTTGATGTGATTTGACGGCTCGACTAAGTTAGTATGATGTATTAGGATTGGTTGCTATGTTTGTTTGAGGTCCCGGGGGCCTCGGGTGAGCTTCGGATGCTTAACGGATGGATTTGGGACTTAGGCATTTGGCTAAAGATTTGCTGCACCTGTTGTTTTCGCACTTGCGGATATTGGACCGCAGGTGCGGTGCCACAGAAGCGGAGATGGGCTCTTGTAGCTGAGACCGCAGGTGTGGCTGGTGGACCGCGGAAGCGTGACCGTAGATGCAGCCTCAACCCGGATAAGTGACCTTTGCACCTGCGATGATTTTTCCGCAGGTGCGGGACTGCAGATGCGGAGCAGTGACCGTAGAAGCGAAAATCACTAGGCAGAAAAGAGGATTTCGAGGGTTCGAAATTTCATAACACCAAATTCGATTTTTAGCTTGGGAGAAGGCGATTTTGTGAGCATTTTAAAGAGGAAGTCAGTGGGTAACGATTCCTAACCCTATTTCATTTATATTTCATCAATCTATAGTAATTTTCTCAACCTAATCAAGGAATTTGAGTGGAAAAAATGGGAATTTGGGGGAAAAGTTCCCCAATCGAATTTTTGGGTTTTGATCGGGTTTTAGGCGTCGGAATTGAATAATTTTTGGACGAGTGATCTCGTGAGTGAATGGGTGTTGTAAATTTGTAACTTTTAACCGATTCCGAGACGTGGGCCCGGGAAGGATTTTTGGGCGTTTTTCTATTTTCTTACCCTAGCTTTGATTTCATTAGTTAAATTAGTTACTTTTACTTATATTTACATTATGCAATTGGTTTGATTAGATTTGGGCCATCCGGAGTCGGATACTCGTGGCAAGAGCGTGATATCGGGTTGATTTGAGCGGTTCGAGGTAAGTGGCTTGCCTAACCTTGTGTTGGGAAACTTTCCCTTAGGATGTTTGGTATTATTTGATGTGTGAGGGCCGTGTACGTGAGGCGACGAGTACGTACACGGGCTATTGTTGTAAAAATCCTGTTTTCCTCCTTAGTCATAAATTGTTTTCCCTTATTAGACTGCACCACTATGTTTAATTGCTGAGATTAAATTAGGAAAGCATGCCTATGTGTTTTAACTGCCTATTTTATTTCTATGCGACATGCTTAGGTGGACCCCCTTTTTTCCCTCGATTGTGTTTTGTCTAAACTGTATAATTTGATGTCGTACCTGTCATTTTACCTTGAGCTGCATATTTACTTTGGGACTACGGACGTATTCTGGGAGATCCCCCCTGTCTTGCATATTTATTTTGGGACGTCGGACGTATTCCGGGAGATCCCCCCAGCACTGCATATTTATTTCGGGAGTACGACGTATTCCGGGAGATCCCCATGTACTGCATAATCATCTCGGAACCTACGGGATGGTATCCCGGGAGATTTTCCTGTTGTATTTACCTTGTTCTGAGCCGAGGGATCCCTTTACTGTTAAAATTGTGTATTTCTTTAATTTTTTTACCGAAAACTCTATTTATATCTCTTACTGCTTAACTTATTATATATACTCCAGTAGGGCCCTGACCTGACCTCGTCACTACTTGATCGAGGTTAGGCTTGGCACTTACTGGGTATCATTGTAGTGTACTCATGCCCTTTCCTGCACATGTTTTTCGTATGCAGATCCAGGTACGAGCTATCAGCCTCGAGGTTAGTGCGTGCTTGCTAATTTCAGGAGACTTCAAGGTATTTATGCTCGCATCCGCAGATCCTCGGAGTCCCCTTTTATTCCCTCTCCTAGAGTATTTCTTTTTTTTGTTTATCTTCAGTCATTTGTATAAACGCTACATAGATTATAGAATCTTTGTAGATTTAGCGACATTTCGGGTCTTGGGAGATTATTTTTTTATATGACGAGTGGCACTATTCTTGTTATTTACAATATGTTGTTTTATCTTTTATCGTTGTGTTTTCTTTAAATTTTCCATAATATTAGGCTAACCTAGTCGTAAAGACTAGGTGCCGTCACGACACCTTTCGGAGGGGTCAAATTGGGTCGTGACAAGTTGGTATCAGAGCTGTAGGTTCATAGGAGTCGTGAGTCACAAGCGGTTTATTTAGAGTTCTCGCGGGACGGTGCGGAGACGTCCTACTATCTTCGGGGGGCTATGTAACTGTTAAGAACAATCATACTTCTTTGATTTCCTTGTCGTGCGAGTTATTGACATCAAAAATCCTAAAATTCTATTCTATTCTTTCTCACAGATGGTGAGGACCCGTACCGGGAGGACCGACGAGTTGGCACCCGAGCCCCCTGCCAGAGCCGCTAGAGGTTGGGGTCATGGTAGTGCACGACCATGCGGTGCAGCCCGAGCACCTACGAGAGCTGCGACAGAGAAGCCCCCAGCAGCTCCAGCTGGAGGGCCGGCACCGGAGATCCCTATTGCTACTCCAGCCCTCCAAGAGACTTTAGCTCAGTTCATGAGCATGTTCAGCACTTAAGCTCAGGTTGGTCTACTTCCGATAGCTCCCGCTACATCTCAGGCTGGGAGAGGGGCACAGACTCCGGCATCCCGCACTCCTGAGTAGATGGTCCAGGTTGATTAGGCCCCAGAGTATATTCCTATGCCCCCAGTGGCTCCGGTTCAGCATTAGACCAGGGTAGCTGCTTCTGAGGCACAGCAGCTCAGAATTGAGAGGTACAAGAAGTACCACCCACCTACCTTCAGTGGACTAGCTTCAGATGACGCTCTAGGTTTTCTTGAGGAGTGTCATCGTATTCTCCGCACTATGGGCATTGTGGAGACGAGTGGGGTTTCCTTCACCGCCTTCCAGCTTAGGGGAGCGGCATATTAGTGGTGGCGTGCCTATGAGTTGAGTAGTCCGGACGAGGTGGCCTCACTCACTTGGACTCAATTTTCAGAGATGTTTTTGCTTGAGTATGTCCCTTAGAGCCTCAGGGACGCTTGGCGCATAGAGTTTGAGCAGCTGCGCCGGGGTGCTATGACAGTGTCGGAGTACACAGTCCGTTTCAGTGAGTTAGCTCGTCATGCACCAGCTTTGGTTGCCACATTCAAAGAGAGGGTTCGTCGCTTCATCGAGGGACTCCACCCCAGTATTCGGACCAGTATGGCCAGGGAGTTGGGGATGGACATTACTTATCAGCAAGCAGTGAGTATTGCAAGGAGAGTGGAGGGCATGTTTGCCCGGGACAGAGAGAAGGAAGAGGCAAAGAGGTCTTGAGAGACTGGTCATTTTTCAGGAGCCCGTGCACCAGCAGCACGCACTGCTAGGGATTTTGTGAGTTGCCATGTTCATTCAGCTCTGCCAGCAGCCAGTGGTGTTACAACTCCTCCTAGACCTCAGGAGCCCTATTATGCACCGCCAGTATCCAATATGCCTCCTGCTCGAGGTGCTATTACCGAACAGACCAGCAGGCCAGGTTCGAGTCAGTCTCAGCCACCACGTCCTCCGAGGGGTTGCTTTGAGTGTGGTGACACTCGTCACATGGTTAGAGATTGCCCCAGCACCAGGAGGGGTGCACCTCCACAGACTTATCAGCCTCCACGTGCTCCACCGGGTCCTCCGGCCATTCTTCCAGCCCCAACTACTACTCCACCTTCTCAGGCAGCTCGAGGTGGAGGTCGGGAAGGTCGAGGTCGCCCTAGAGAGGGAGGCAATGCCAGATACTATGCCCTTCTAGCCCGTTTAGAGGTTGTCGCTTCAGACTCAGTCATCACAGGTATTGCCCCTATCTGTCATAGGGATGCATCAGTATTATTTGACCCAGGCTCTATGTATTCATATGTGTCTTCTTATTTTGCTCCACATTTGGGGATATCTCGGGATCCTTTGAGCTCCTCTGTTTATGTTTCCACTCATGTGGGAGATTTTCTTGTTGTGGACCGCGTTTATTGGTCGTGTTTGATTACTCTTAGTGATTTTGATACCAGAGCCGATTTATTATTGCTCAGCATGGTAGATTTTGATGTTATCTTGGGCATGGACTGGTTGTCGCCCCATTATGCTATTCTTGATTGTCACGCCAAGACTGTGACGCTGGCTATGCCAGGTTTCGCGAGTAGAGTGGAGCGGTACTTTAGATTATACTCCCAGTAGAGTTATCTTATTTGTTAAAGCTCAGCGAATGGTTGAGAAGGGGTGTGATGCATATCTAGCTTATGTGAGAGATGTCAGTATTGATACCCCTACAGTTGATTCAGTCCCAGTAGTGCGGGATTTTCCTGATGTGTTCCCAGCTGATCTTCCGGGCATGCCGCCCGACGGAGATATTGATTGTGGCATTGATTTGTTTCCGGGCACTCAGCCCATCTCTATTCCTCCTTATCGTATGGCCCCTCCTAAGTTGAAGGAACAATTACAGGAATTGCTTATTAAGGGCTTTATTCAGCCCAGTATATCACCTTGGGGTGCTCCTGTCTTGTTTGTAAAGAAAAAGGATGGTTCTATGCATATGTGCATTGATTATCACTAGTTGAACAAAGTTACAGTGAAGAACTGGTATCCTTTGTCTCGTATTGATGACCTGTTTGATCAGTTACAGGGTGCTCGAGTGTTTTCTAAGATTGACTTGCTTTCAGGTTATCATCAGTTGAAGATTCGGGAGCTAGATATCCTGAAGACTACTTTCAGAACTCGGTATTACGAGTTCCTTGTTATGTCATTTGGGCTGACCAATGCCCCAACAGCCTTTATGCATTTAATGCACACTGTGTTCCGGTATTATCTTGATTCTTTCATCATTGTATTTTGACAACATTCTAGTATATTCCCGGTCTCGAGAAGATCATGAGAAGCACCTGAGGATAGTGCTTCAGACCTTGAAAGAAAAGAAAATATATGTGAAGTTCTCGAAATGTGAGTTCTAGTTGGATTTAGTGGCATTTTTGGGCCACGTAGTGTCTTGTGATGGGATCAATGTAGATCCGTAGAAGGTAGAGGCAGTGCAGAGTTGGCCTAGACCGTCATCAGCTATGGAGATCCACAATTTCCTTGGGTTGGCGGGGTACTACCGTCGCTTCGTAGAGGGATTTTCATCTATTGCAGCACTTATGACCACACTGACCCAGAAGGGTGCTCCGTTCAGGTGGACCGAGGAGTGTGAGGAGAGCTTTCAGAAGCTCAAGACAGCTTTAACGACAGGCCCAATATTAGTATTGCCTACAGGTTCGGGGTCTTACACTGTCTATTGTGATGCCTCAAGGATTGGCCTTGGAGCGGTATTGATGCAGGACAGTAGGGTGATTGCCTACGCGTCTAGACAGTTGAAGGTGCATGAGAAGAATTATCCTGTTCATGATCTCGAGTTAGCAGTTATTGTTCACGCCTTGAAGATCTGGGGTCATTATTTGTACGGTGTTCCTTGTGAGATCTACACTGATCACCGGAGTTTGCAGCACTTGTTCAAGTAGAAGGACCTTAATTTGAGTCAGCGGAGGTGGTTGGAGCTACTTAAAGACTATGACATCACTATATTGTACAACCCGGGGAAGGCCAATGTAGTGGCCGACGCCTTGAGTCGCCGGCGGAGAGTTTGGGGAGTTTGGCATATCTTCCGGCAACTGAGAGGCCCTTAGCCTTGGATGTTCAGGCCTTAGCCAGTCAGTTCGTGAGATTGGATATTTAAGAGCCTAGCCGGGTATTAGCTTGTGTGGTTGCTCGGTCTTCTCTTTATGACCGTATTAGGGAGCGCCAGTATGATGATCCGCACCTTCTAGTTCTTCAGGATAGGGCTCGGTGAGGTGATGCTAGAGATGTGACTATTAGTGATGATGGCGTAATGAGGATACAGGGCAGGATTTGTGTGCCTAATGTGGATGGGCTTCGGGAGTTGATTCTTGATGAGGCTCACAGCTCACAATACTCCATTCATCCGGGTGCTGCGAAGATGTACCATGATTTAAGACAGCACTATTGGTGGAGGAGGATGAAGAAGGATATAGTTGGGTATGTGGCCAAGTGTCTCAAATTCCAGCAGTTGGAATTCTGCGGACTTTGAAAAAGTACGATGTTATTTGGGTGATCGTGGATCGGCTGACCAAGTCAGCTCATTTTATTCCGGTGTTGACTATGTACTCTTCAGAGAGTGATGAGATTTATATCAAGGAGATCGTTCGCCTTCACGGTATTCCAGTATCTATTATTTCGGATAGAGGTACAAAGTTCACATCACGGTTCTAGAGAGCCGTACAACAGGAGTTGGGTACTTGGGTGAAGCAGAGCACAGCCTTTCACCCTCAAACAAACGGGCAGTCCAAGCGCACGATTCAGATCCTTGAGGATATGCTCTGTGCTTGTGTGATAGAGTTTTGAGGGTCATCGGACCAATTCTTGCCACTTGCAGAGTTTGCCTACAACAACAGTTACCAGTCCAGCATTCAGATGTCACCGTACGAGGCCTTGTATGGTAGTCGGTGGCGGTCCCTGATGGGATGGTTTGAGCCGGGCGAGGCCCGATTGTTGGGTACAGATTTGGTCTAGGATGTCCTGGATAAGGTGAAGGTGATTCAGGAGAGACTTCGCACAGCCTAGTCCAGACAGAAGAGTTATGCAGACCGAAAGGTTCGTGATTTGGCATTTATGGTTAGAGAGCGGGTCTTGCTTTGGGTATCACCTATGAAGGGCGTTATGAGATTCGGGAAGAAGGGTAAGCTGAGCCCGAGGTTCATTGGTCCTTTTGAGGTATTGCGGCGTGTTGGGGAGGTTTCTTATGAGCTTGCCTTGCCTCCCAGCCTAGCAGGAGTTCATTCGGTATTCCACGTTTCCATGTTCCGGAAGTATCACGGTGATCCGACTCATGTATTGGATTTCAGCTCAGTCTAGTTGGACAAGGATCTATCTTATGTTGAGGAGCCAGTAGCCATTTTGGAAAGGCAGGTCAGGAAGCTCAGGTCATAGAATATTGCTTCAGTAAAGGTCCGGTGGAGGGGTCAGCCGGTCGAGGAGGTGACTTGGGAGACTAGCAGGATATGCGCAGCCGTTATCCTCATCTTTTCACCACTTCAGGTATGTCTCTATGCTCGTTCGAGGACGAACGAATGTTTTTAAGAGGGGGAGGATGTAACGACACGGCCGGTCATTTTGAGAATTAACGCCCCAATCCCCTGTTAACTGCTTTCCCTGTGTCTTTTTCTGCTATTGTGATTTGCCGGGATGGTTCATGTTGAGTTTCGGAGTGTTTTGGGACACTTAGCCCCCAAATGAGAGTTTAAGTCTTAGAATTTAGACCGTAGTCGAAATAATGTGAAGATGGCTCCGGAATGGAATTCCGTCAATTTAGATAGCTCCGTTGGGTGATTTCGGGCTTAGGGGCGTGCCCGGATTGTGTTTTGGAGGTCCGTAGCTTATTTAGGCTTGAAATGGCAAAAGTTAAATTTTGGAGTTTCGGGCCGATAGTTGAATTTTTGATATCGGGGTCGGAATCCGATTCCGAAAGTTAGGATAGGTCCGTAGTGGTGATTATGACTTGTGCGCAAAATTTGGGACCAATCGGACATGGTTTGGTTAGTTTCGGCATCGATTGTAGAATTTTGAGATTTCAAGTTCATTAAGTTTGGATTGGAGGGTGATTCGTGGTTTTAGCGTTGTTTGATGTGATTTGAGGGCTCGACTAAGTTAGTATGATGTTTTAGGATTGGTTGGTATGTTTGATTGAGGTTCCGAGGGCCTCGGGTGAGCTTCGGATGCTTAACGGATGGATTTGGGACTTAGGCATTTGGCTGAAGATTTGTTGTTCCTATTATTTTCGCACTTGCGAATATTGGACCACAGGTGCGGTGCCGCAGAAGCGGCTTGGAAGCCACAGAAGCGGAGATGGGCTCTTGTAGCTGAGACCGCAGGTGCGGCTGGTGGACCGTAGATGCGGCACAGTGACCGCAGATGCGGGCCCAGCCCGGATAAGTGACCTTCACACCTGCGATAATGTTTCCGCAGGTGCGAGTCCGCAGATCCGGCGCAGTGACCGTAGAAGCGAAAATCGCTGGGCAGAAAAGAGGATTTCGAGAGTTTGAAATTTCATAACACCAAATTCGATTTTTAGCTCGGGAGATGGCGATTTTGTGAGGATTTTGAAGAGGAAGTCAGTGAATAACGATTCCTAACCCTATCTCGTTTATATTTCATCAATCTATAGTAATTTTCTCCACCTAATCAAGAAATTTGAGTGAAAAAAATTGAAATTTTGGGGAAAAGTACCCTAATCGAATTTTTGGGTTTTGATCGGGTTTTAGGCATCGGAATTGAAAAATTTTTGGACGAGTGATCTTGTGAGTGAATGGGTGTTGTAATTTGGTAACTTTTACCCGATTCCGAGATGTGGGTCTGGGAAGGACTTTTGGGCATTTTTCTATTGTCTTACCCTAGCTTTGATTTCATTAGTTAAATTAGTTACTTGTACTTATATTTACATTATGCAGTTGGTTTGATTAGATTTGGGTCATTCGGAGTCGGATACTCGTGGCAAGAGCGTGATATCGGGTTGATTTGAGCGGTTCGAGGTAAGTTGCTTGCCTAATGTTGTGTTGGGGAACTTCCCTTTAGAATGTTTGGTATTACTTGATGTGTGAGTGCCGTATACGTGAGGTGACGAGTACGTACACGGGCTATTGTTGTAAAAATCCCGTTTTCCTCCTCAGTCATAAACTGTTTTCCCTTATTAGACTGCACCACTATGTTTAATTGCTGAGATTAGATTAGGAAAGCATGCCTACGTATTTTAACTAGCTATTTGATTTCTGTTTGACTTGCTTAGGTGGACCCCCTTTTTCCCTCGATTGTGTTTAGTCTAAACTGTATAATTTGATGTCGTACCTGTCATTTTATCTTGAGCTACATATTTACTTTGGGACCACGGACGTATTCTGGGAGATCCCCCATGTCTTGCATATTTATTTTGGGACTACGGACGTATTCTGGGAGATCCCCCCAGCACTGCATATTTATTTTGGGAGTACAGACGTATTCCGGGAGATCCCCCTGTACTGCATAATCATTTCGGAACCTACGGGATGGTATCCCGGGAGGTTTTCCTGTTGTGTTTACCTTGTTCTGAGCCGAGGGCTCCCTTAACTATTAAAATTTGTGCATTTCTTTAATTGTTTTACCGTAAACTCTATTTATATCTCTTACTGCTTAACTTATTATATATACTCCAGTAGGGCCCTGACCTGACCTCGTCACTACTTGACCGAGGTTAGGCTTGGCACTTACTGGGTACCATTATGGTGTACTCATGCCCTTTTCTGCACATGTTTTTCATGTGCTGATCCAGGTACGAGCTATCAGCCTCGAGGTTAGTGCGTGCTTGCTGATTTTAGGAGACTTCAAGGTATTTCTGCTCGCGTCCGCAGATCCTCGGAGTCCCCTTCTATTCCCTCTCCTAGAGATTTCTTTTTTTTGTTTTGTTTATCTTCAGACTTTTGTATAGAGCTACATATATTATAGAAGCTTGTGATTTAGCGACATTCCGGTGTCTTGGGAGATTATTTTTGTATATGCCGAGTGGCACTATTCTTGTTATTTACAATACGCTATTTTATCTTTTATCGTTGTGTTTTCTTTAAGTTTTTCGTAATATTAGGCTTACCTAGTTGTAAAGACTAGGTGCCGTCACGACTAAGGGTGTTCATGGTTCGGTTTGGATCGGTTTTTTCCCTAAAAAGCAACCAAACCAAGTTAGCCGGTTTTTTAAATATTAGAACCAAACCAAACCAATTAAGTCGGTTTTTCTCGATTCGGTTTATGTTGGTTTTTCGGTTTTTTCTTAAATATAAGACATACACTACCAAACACATATTCCGGCGATCACATTTTCCATGTAACACTATCAAATCAATTGCCCTTTGAGAAATCTATTATTTACCAAGATATATTGATGATAATTGAATCAAATAGTGATAAATAATTTGAGGACTCAATTAAAAATATGTTATTTTTTACACGAAATGGATTCTTACATTAAACAAAAGAAAACTACCAATCAAACTAGAATGTAAAGGTAAAGAACTATATTAAAAGTGCTAACTATTGACATTTACCATAAATTTTTTGAAACTTTGTATAACAATATACATATTTATAGGTGTAATAATAAATTTGAAATAGCTACTTCTATAGTCGGTTTGGTTCGGTTTTTTTTCTGATTAAAACCAGAACCAAACCAAATTTGATCGGTTTTTAAAATTCAAAACCAAAACCAAACCAAACCAAAAAGTATCGGTTTTTTTGGTCGGTTTGGTTTGGTTTTCGGTTTGGTTCGATTTTTCGGGTTTTTATGAACACCCCTAGTCACGACACCTTTCGGAGGTGTCAAATTGGGTCGTGACAGAAAGTACACCAAAAAATATGCATTTTTTGTCATTTATCAAGTGTATATGCATGTGTCAGGGTTTCCATACTTGTGAGGGGTAATTATATGCTCCTTTGTACCTTGATGAACTTTGTGATTCTTTTGCCTTAGGTTCTACTTGATGAGATAATATGAGTAAGAATTTCAATGCGACTGTGCTTCAGCCTATTACAATTTGATTAAAATTTGATGGACTCTTTGTGAAACCGTTAACGTGAAAATTTGATCATAACTATACGTAAATCACGAATACTTTGCTATGACCATTATTACTGAGACACTTTGATTCTATGTTTGTGTTGAAGATCACGTTTGATTTTTGTTGAATAATTGAACAATGGGGTTTTGAAGTTTATACGATTGATTATTTGTGCAAGAGTTGTGATTCTCGTTCACGTGGTGTATTTTGCTTAACCACTCTTCTTAATGTTATCCACACTTCCTACCTTGCTTGTTGTTGATGTATATATGTTTGGTGAGGAAGAGTGTAAAGCACGAAGGGTGATGCTATGCCATTTCATATACATTATTATGCACGAAGGATAATGTCATGTCATTTCATTTACATTATCATGTGAGGACGAGAGTAAAAGCACGAAGGATGATGACGTGCCATTGCATTTACATTATCATGTGTGGACGAGAGTAAAAATGCGAAGGGTGATGCCGTGCCATTATTTTTATGTTATCATGTGTTCATGGCACGAAGGGTGTTTTCGTGCAGGGGACGAGAGACATGCATTATATTGTGATATCTTTTCCTTGTGTATATGTTTATGCCTTTATCCTGAGTTGTTACTGTTGCACGTATATTTTCTATGTTGCTTGTGGTTGTCACATCTTTGCCTTTTTCCTTATTTTCTATTGTTCTATCAATGCCTTCTATCTAGGGATGGGCATCGATCGGTTCGGTTCGGTTGTAAATATTATCGGTTATCGGTTTACAAATATTGTAAAACGATAACCGAATCGATAAGATATCCGTAATCGGTTAATCGGTATCGATCATTATCGGTTCGGTTATCTGTTTACCCAATAAGATAACTCAATCTATAGTTAAGCAAAAAGGAGAAGACAATTCATTGGAGTTAAGCAAAAAAAAAGAGAAGAATTCACATATAGTATACTAATTTATGCGTTCTGGCCACAACTAATATTTGAAGCATGCTTCATTTTGATAAATTGAAACAATTTGACAACATTTGCTTCTGCTTCTATACAACATTATTATTATTATTATTATTATTATTATTATTATTATTATTATTATTATTATTATTATTATTATCATCGCTGATAAATTTTCCATATTGCACTACCACTACATATTTTCTCAATGATTACAGTCTTTATGCATAAGGAACTTTTTACTAGTCAAGCTCAGTGACGAGATCACAAAAGAAAGCAAAAGCTAGGCAGTACAATAGTAATATGCAATGTCTAATACAGCACAGAAACTACACTAATGATGCCAATAACCAAAAGCCAAGACCCTAATTTTCAATTCAAAGATAGTGCCACAATGGTAAATACTAAACCTCAGACATAAAGAGTTCCTTGGTCAGCATCTCCTAAAATTGCAATTTACCATTTCCACGCAAAGGCTATAATTGCTCTTCATCTTTGAAATTTTAAATGCTAATAACAACCCCAACACTTCTCAGTTTAACAAAGTAATTGACAGTCCATATGAAAATTTATCAACGTGTAATAGGTAACAGATACAAAGTAAGGATATGTACAGAAATTAACTTCTTCACAAAGCATCCTGTTAAACAATGTCTTGGTCACTTAAACAGACTACTCAATCCATCTACTCATATGTATGTATGTATATATATATATATACATATATATATATATATATATACATATATATTCATGCAATCTAAAAAATTGATACTACAATTTCACAAGCATTCCATCTCCAATTTGCTAGAAATAGCAGTTAACAGGAACATAAATAATAATTTTTTAGTTTCCTGCATAATCAAGAGCAACAAGAGTACTAGTAATTCAACAGTTGTCCAAACACAACTTAAATGGGACTTAATTCTTCAACAACAGTTGTCCAAATACATTAATAACAATACAAAGTAGTAGCAATTTCACCTTAAAATTAACAAGTCCAAACATAATATTAATAGTTCAAATTCAAGTTAACAAGATAACAACTACTCAATCCTTATAGGCTTCACCAAATTGCGCTCCAAACAATGCTCAACATGCCTCATTAAGGACTTAGTACCAGTTTGTCGTGCATTGTAACAAAAAACAAGATGACAATGACTACATCTTACTTTCGACCATCCATCATTACCTTCTTCAATCCTTTCATAGTGACTCCAAACATGCGAGATAGCTTTGAGACCACGAAGTCGAGGCATGGTTACACCTATTAAACATAAAAAGAAAAAAAATATTAAGTCAAATAAATTCTTACCAATTCATATTATGTATTATATAAGTTTAATAATTAACTAACCAAAGTTTTATCTCACAACTATCTAAGATTCTACACATCATCATCGTTTCCAAGTTTGGCAACATCTATGAGAATATATATTATCAAATCAAACAACAAAAATATTAAATAAACTATTTATAAAAATAAC